GTCTGGAACAGCAAGGAGAATGAACATGTGATTATCTGGTGCTTTCCGTAAGAATGAGAAAAATCGGTGTGTTCAGTGACAAGCTGCCAGTGAGTGGTGCTGGCCAGATGGAAACGCGAATAGAATGACCCTCCCTTCTGCCCCCCTTCTGCCTCCCTGCCTGATAAAATACCTGGGACATTTAGACAATGTCCATACCTGGGCTTTTCCCTAGAACAACTGAATAAAACTTTCTGGGACGTTATATTTTTTAAGGTTTCCAGGTAATTCCAAAGCATAAGCAGGTACGAGATTCTATGATTACATCAGTGGTTATTAGCAGATACTTACCTTAAGATGCTTACCTAAGCATCTTTCATTTCTAACTAAATCCAGTGCCACTTTAAGGCACGTAAAGTGATATAAGGCATTTAATTACTCTTCAAGTTCAGACTCATATTAATCACTATTTCCCCCATGTCTTAGATATGGTATTTTTTCATGTAATCCTCATAAGAGCCCTAAAGGTAGCTGTTGTGTTACCCCCATTTTACAGATAAGCACACGGAGGCTCAGAATGGTTAAACAGTTGTCTCAAAGCATAACTGTGAGAAACAAACTCACCTGTCCAAACCCAAAGGATGGACTCAGAGATCCGGAGAACAGCAAAAGTGAGACTTTTAATGGTGGTCTTACAAGATCCAGTGTCTGGCATGCACTCACTCCCAGAACAGTTTCAACAAGCCATTTATCCCATAATGTGCAGGTCCCTCCCCCAGTTCCTCATAGGCTGAGTGCTATGGGGTCACAATCTTCCCTGATGTTGCCTATGGATTGTTAGGCAAGGGCTTTAGGTGGTTTTTTTAGGGTTGTCTTGCTGCATTTTGTCGCAGCCCACAATGCATTGCAATCTTAGTTAGCTCAGCTGCTCTTTAAGTATTTGGCTTATGACCTAAGTAGCTGGGTAGGCTAATAAGAACAGACAGAGCAAGCTATTTTGCATACTAGTAAACCTTTATCTTAGACTAAACTTCTTTGGTTCGGGTGAAGGCAAGTAAGGTGGGGGGAAGCTGTTTCTTCTGTAGTTTGCTGACCTAAGCCGATTCAAGGCATTTTGTCTTGGAAATGGACCACGGTATACATTATTTCCTTTATAACTAAAACATGTTTGATTTTGTATGAAATGAGGATCATAATACAGATCCGATGAGGTTACTGTGGTCGGGAGATGGAGGATATATAACAGGTGATCTGTATTCACTCCCTCGTCTTTGAAAACGCACACATGAGGAAGGGAAGGGGCTTGTATTCTCTACAATATATTACCTTCAAAAAGCCAGTGGACATAAGACTCTTTCTGACTGACTCACCACATCCTTTGCACAATGGCTAAGATCAGGTCAGAGTGTGGTGCTTTCAATGTGTCAGCCATTCTGAGTAGAGCACAGCTGTTTACCCTGTACAATGCCATCCCTTTTGTCTTGCTGGTGATACTTTGTGGCTAACTCAGTCTCTGGTGAGGGTCGCTAAAACCTCAAATTCTGCTTTTTTTTTTTTTTTTTTGAGATGGAGTTTCACTCTTGCTGCCCAGGTTGGAGTGCAGTGGTGCAATCTTGGCTCACTGCAGCCTCCGCCTCCCTGGCTCAAGCAATTCTCCTGCCTCTGCCTCTCGAGTAGCTGGGATTATAGGCTCCCACCATCACACCCGGCTCAGTTTTTGTATTTTCAGTAGAGACAGGTTTCACCATGTTGGCCAGGCTGGCCTCGAACTCCTGGCCTCAGATGATCTACTGTCCTCAGCCTCCCAAAGTGCTGGGATTACAAGCGTGAGCCACTGCATCCGGCCTCAAATTCAGCTTTTTAAAATGTCAGAAGAGTTTGGGCTCTCTCTATAATATTTTTAAACTCTTCTTATACAATAAAGTGCTTGCATCTCTCAAAAGCTACTACTAGAATGTTTTTAACTTTTATTCAAATTTTAAAATACAAGTCTAATAAGCACTGATATTACTGATCAAATAATATACATATAAGGCAAAAATTAAGGATTCCTCCCTGATCCCTCCCGTTTCCATCCCTGCCCTCCTATGTGTTAGCAATTTGGCAGAATCCCCTGCAATTTGGCTCTGCGCCGAGCTCTACTGGAGAAGACAATAAACTATAAGAAATGTAATGACAGACTCTTAACTTTTGAAACCATTTTTGTCACCAAATATTGATGGATTGTCATTTTTTTAATGAAACTATTTCCATTTCTCTGAGCTGAAAAAGACCTATTTGGCCTAAGCTGCTCATTTTTCAGGTGAAGAAACGAAAGCCCAGAAAGCTCCATTGCCTTACTCAAAGCTGCACGGTGCATGGCAGGGCTGGGGCTGGAGAGCAGCTTCCCTGGCCACCTTGCCAGACCTCTGATTTGAGGCAATAAGTTTTGCAGGGAACTGTCCTGCGTCTGTGGTCCGTTTACTCTGTACACAAGAACTGGCCAAGATTCAGGCACACAGGGAGCCGTCCATAAAGATTGGTTTATTTTGTCCCATTTCAATGCTACTTAATGCATTCAGAAGAATGAAGTAGCTGTATAAGCAGTTATCATTAAGAGGTAGATACTTTTAAGGGATGGGGGATGGATTTGTCCTGTATGACTGTAATCAAGTAATTTAATCTCTATAAGTATTAGTATTCAAAAATTGGCAACAATATCCCCACATACCCAAATATAACATGACGTGCTAAAGCACCTTGCGAACTCTGCTTTGTTATACAAGTAATTGCATATCCGTATTTCATAACATTTCATAGTTTGTAAGACATTTTCATATGTGTCAGTTTATTTCACACTTAAGACATGATGTAAAAGAAAGATATTGATACTACTATTTATAAACTAGGAGGGACCAAATGTTCCTTCAAGGCCACACAGCTAGTTAATGACAGCACTGGAACTGAACAGAGGTCTCTCAACTTCCAGTCCAGGACCCTTCCAGTATTTGATGTGCATTCTTTGCATGACACTGATGAATGTTCAAGTCCTGTTTCTCACCGCCATGATGGAAATGACTTCCAAGTGGGGCTAGGCACTCTACACACTGCCATAGTGGGCCATCAGTGAATGAGAGGCTAACAGCTGCCTCTCCTTTCCCTGCTGTCAATATTGACCTACAACATAAGACGAGGGGATGAGGCAAGGGGGTGAGGACAGAGGAAATACACAGGGTATCAGAAGTCATAGAGCTTAGTTGAAGTTCTTTACTATGGGTTGCCAGTATAGGTTGAAGATCACACAGTTTAATTTCGAATCCCATCCCTTAGCGTGCATGATCCTTGATCATCTCAATCCAAGGGACCTTCCCTCATTATTTTTCATGTACTACCAACATCCCAGCTACCGACCCTTTTAGTTTCACCAAAGTGTGCAAAGCCACTCTGGCACGATATGCATTGTAACATCTTCACACCTTTGCACATGATGCTCCATTTGCTTGGAACACCTTCCTTAATTTTGAGCCCAAAAGACCCAGATTTACCTGGCAAGACAAAGCTCAAATATTGTCTCCTCTATGAAGATTACTCTGGCTGGCTCTCTAAGACAGAGTTAGGATTTGTTCTGTTTTGTTTTACAATTAACTGTTTTTTGCAAAACATTTTAATAACAGGAGGGATGTCACGGAGAGATGCAGAAACCGTACTATACTTAGTTTTAGAAGTGGCTTAAGGGCAGGGACTGTGTCTCACTGGGCACAATATTTGCACAAAGTAAATTTTCAGTAAATGGTAGTTTCCCAGATGGATGAATGAATGAATGGATAGATGGATGACAGAATATACTAAAAATGCCTAAGGCTCAGTGGGGTGCCATATGCTGACAGGTTAGGAAATGGAAATTTCTGGGTCTCGGGACCTTGGCTCTTATTGCAGATGGGTATTCTTAGTCACATAATTAAATCTTTCTGGGTCTCATTCTCTAACTGTGAAACCCACTTTCTACCCTACTCCCCACATCTGGGAGCCCAGGGAAGCTGATGGATATTAAACCATATTAATAGCTCCTCGCCCTTGGCTTCCTGTTGAGTTTGGCCAATGGGAAATGGCATCAGGAGATCCAGGGCAAAAGAAGCGTGAGATGGGATTTTCATTCCACCCACCACAGCTCCCTCCCTGCAGGTCCCACAACTGAAAGCCACAGCTCCTCTTCCTGCAAGCCAGAAAGAGAGCCCTGTCTCTGTGTCCCAGTGCCTACCTGGTCCCCAAACCCCTCCAAGCCCAGGTGTGTGACAGCGCCCTTTTATTACCACCCCCAGATACTTCACTGTCTTCTGTGGATTCCTTCTACCCTGCCAACACCTTTTAAATGGTCTCTTTATTAAGCTGTTCTCAAATTACCCAATTTGAGAGTGCCATCTGTTTCTTCCTGGAACCTCAGCTGATATCCTTTATACCTCTCAGGGCCTTTGAGTAGATTACATGAGATCATTGATACGAAGCCCTTACTGAATACTCCCAAGGTCTCTACTGCTAATTTATGTGGTAAATAACATTAAAAATCTTTCCTATGTGGGTGAATAGAAGGCTCAAATAAAATGCTGCATTCTACGTAAAGTGATGTAGAACTGTAACTTTCAATAAATATTTTATGGTAAAGCCACACTTGGAAACGAAAAGCACCCCTTCTGCACGCTCTGGCTCGGAGCAGAGCCAGCCGAGCCTGGCTGACGTGCCCTCGGTGCCCAGGGGGAGCGCACAATTGCACGCCAGGGAAAACCAGGCTCAGTTTATGTTTGCTCAACTCCCGGGGGCAGATGGGATGAATGCTGACAGAAAGAGGACAGCCTGTCAGAGAAAGAAATCCCCTCCCCCACTGCATTCCAGAAATAAGCCAGTTCTTAACCTGGATTGATTCTTTCTGCCATTTCCTCTAAACCAGCACCTGTATCCGATTTTAACAAGAAGCAACAATGGCTTGTTCCCCAGAATTAAAACATGATGTGGAAGTTCCAGTAACGAGTTTGCTTTTGTTTCCACAGGCTGAATTGAAGATCCCTCTTATCTGCTGGGTGCCAAGAACTATGAACAGGCAGTAAGTACCATGGGATCACTGTGAGTCCCGATTCCCTTTTCATAGTGGGGACAGGAGGCGTTTTCTGGAAGATGAACTAAGAAATGATGCCAGTGTGGCCACCCGTGGAAAGGGGATTTCCTGAGAGGCCATGGCTGGGGCTGTGCGCTTTGGTGTTCGGAAAACTCCTCTTTCCAGTAGCAGCATTTTCTCATGGACAGAGCACTTGCTCTCACTCAGCACGGGTGTGTGGTGGGGCAGGGACAAGATACCCTAGCACCATGATGCTAGAAGGGCACCCAGTCAGTTTCCACCCATGGGTGTGAAGGAATAAGTAAAAGGACAGTGGTTTGTGCACTTTTTCCCACAGGAGAAAGCCTGGAGTCCAACCTTCTCTTTGTGGACACCCAGAGTAAGTGGTGTGGTCAGTCTGAGACACCAAAATTTGTGCCTGATAGAAAAAAAAAAAAAAAAAAAAAGCAGGACTCAAACGTTTAAGAAATATTTACAGTGAAAGAAAAACCTTGAAATTGGCAAAGTTTGGTGGACCAGTTTTAAAATTAATCTCCTTGTCTATGTATTTGCTTTATTTTGCCAGTCAGAAAAGTAGTTTTGTTATTCCTCTTTGGTGTGAAAAGCAGTGATTGTATTAGAAAGAGCAGGAGTTTCAGAGTCAGGCAGACCAGACCTACTTTAAATCCCTTGCCCTGTCATTTTACATCTGTATGATACTGGAGAATGATATCCTTACCCTCTGGATACGCAAGAAGTTCCTTAACCCTCTGAAAAGCAGAATTGACTCAGGGAGGAGGACTGCCTGGTTTCTGGGTGGATGTCCTGATCCTAGAGGGAGGCTAGGAGACAGCAATGGCTATACCTCGCAGGTGGGCACTGGCTGGAGGGCTCTGGTCCAAGAGACAGAGACAGCAGCAGATGCTGTGATGGCCCCGGTAATCTCAGCTACCCATGGATGCCCACAGGAGTCCAGGTGGAGTGACCTGACTCACAGCCAAGCCCATGGGATGGGAAGGCTGGAGCTTCTGCTCTTCCTCTTGCCATGAAAAGCACAGCAGGAGCTCCCTGGCACGTAGTCCACAGATGGGCTCCTCACCCGAGTGAGAATTAAGCTCATCAAGCATCCCTTCTTGCCAGGAGTTGTGACCTCGTTTTCCTCCTCGATCCTTGCAGCAGGACTGAGTGGCAGGTATTACTAGCTTCCTGGAAGATTAGCTGCTTCATCTAAATGACTTGTCTGAGATGGCTCAGAGCATTGAGATGAAGGTGGAGCTGGAATTCAGTTCTGTCTGACTCCCAGTTCAGTGCTCCTTTCTTTATTCCCTCGGCTGTGGGAAATGGAGAAGTCACCAGTAAGGGAGTCAGGGCTAATGTCAATCCAGGTGAGCTGGTTAACCTGTGGTTGCACCACAAAGATGAACTCTCAGACCCAAATTAGCATTGGGGATAAACGTGACAAACGGCAGTTTCACTGTGGGATAGACGAATTGGAGGTTTGTGCTGATGGCATAAACAGCACAGCAGTTGTATTAGTGTCCTGGGCTGTCTAACAAATTATCACCACCTGCATGGCTTAAAACACTGGGAATCTAGTCACTGACAGTTCTGGGAGCCAGAAATTCAAAATTAAGGGGTCAGCAGGGTCTTTCTTCCTCCAAAGGCTCAAGGGAAGAATGCTTCCTAGTCTCGTTCACCTCAGAGGTTCCTGACTTTCCTTGCCCGTGGCTGCGTCACTCCCCTCTCTGCCTCCATTTCACGTGGCCTTCTCCTCTCTGGCCATATTTTCTATTCTTCTCACCTCAAACCTCCCTCTGGCTGTCTGATGTGAAGATATTTGTCATTGGATTTAGGGGTCACCTGGATAGTCAGAATGATTTCTTATCAAGATCCTTAACTACATCTGCAAAGATGCTTTTCCCAAACA